TCGTTGTAAAAATATCAAATTTCTTCCTCGGTATATAACGTGGTGCCGGTAAGTATATTTGCCACATCGCTTGTTTCTTTAACCAATCCTTGGCCACATCTTTAGATACCTTAGCCGCGGTGGCTAATTTTTTTATTGCTCCTACACCTTTCCAATATCCTCGTGTGCTATAGTAAATTTTATCCATTATTAATTAATATTGATATTTCTTTTAATACGACTCATGACTATCGTTGAATCGCATAATCATTTTGACATAAAAAATTCCATCTGTAGTAGCAGTATAGGTATATAAATCCGGCTCCAGTGGGGTTGCGGCAGAACCATCATTACCTATATTACTCGCAAGGTAAGCAGTGAATGCATTAAGGAGTTAAGGATAAGTTAAAAATATCCTATCTCACACTTCTTCTTTGTTTCTATGTGGGAACGTGCTTGAATCCTGTTTCCAGCTTCTGAAAATAAAAATAGCCACCCAAGCCCCGCTGCATCTCCATGGTTACATTCAAAAGCTAGGTCAATTACATGCCTCTCGTGTAAGCAGTGCCTGCTTGAACTGACCATGTGTGCCCCTCTACCAATTCATTCACTTTTGCAGAGCTTTATAAGGCTAGAGTAATGAGATGGGGGGATTGTCGGGTGGGCAGTGCATGCATTAAGGAGTAATGCAGGATAAGTATACAAATGTAAAAAATATTTAGATTTTACTAAAATCACATAAATATACGATTTCTACTAAAATTTCCAATTTTTTCTAATTTTAGTGATGCTTTGGCTGATTTGTCGGCGTGTTCATTACCAAACACTCCGATATGAGCAGGGATCCATTTCTATTTCTAGTTGGAGCTTTTGAGTATCTGTTGAATTAATTAAGGTCGATTTCTTTTGTGTGTTTTTGTTTTTGATAGCTTGGAGTCCACTTATGAGTCAGTAAGGATTATTTTTTATATTTTTTTTTAATTTGGGGGCTATGTAGAGCTGTGGCCATCCCCATTAATTTGGCTGTGAAAATTGATTTATTATTTGGGAGCCTATAGGATTTAGTTTCTTTACTGGGTTGGTATACATGGATGCTGAATCCTGTGTGTTTCGAGCCCGGGTCAGAGGACCCGTCTGTATAGATGTGACACCAATTTGGCCATTTTTCGTGTATGTATGAGTGTGGTGGCTTTAGCTGTATTAGGGTCAGTTTCTTTATTTAGTTTGGAGGAGAGTGTTGTGTCTATATTGGTGATTTGTAGTTTTTGTGTGGATATGTTGTTTTGTTTGGTTTTTAGTCTTAAATTGTTTAGGCTTTGTATGTTTAAGTAGTTGAGTGTGTGTTAAGAGATTGGTGTTAATAAAAGGTTTTTCCGCACTAGTGCTTGGTGTTGGCTTGGCTTATAATGTTTTTAAGGATGTGTTGGATTAGGGTGTTTTGTCCAGGGGGATTTCGCCTGTTAGGGCCTCCAGTGAGGTAAGCAAGGTGCCCTGTTGTCTGCGAGTGATTATCTTAAGTGCTTGGTATTGGATCGAGTTTAGTTTATGGTTTAGTGTTGTGTTTAAGGTATTGTATATTGGGCATCCATAGTCTAATTTTGATCTAATTAATGATGTGTATAGCGATAGTAGGGTCTCCTTGGAGGCCCCCCAATTGGAACCTGTCAGGCAGCGTAGTGTATTTAGGTCTTTACTGCATCTATTTATTAGGTTTTTAATGTGAGCACCCCAGTTCAGATGTTTATCAAAGATAAGTCCTATAAATTTGGTCTGTTTTTGGAAATCCCTTTTTTTTTGGCTTTTAGTGAGAAGCCCCATTTGTTTGCCCATATTTGTATTTTGTTAATGCCTTCTGAATTAATTTTGGTGCCATATTTATGCTTCTAGTGCGGATCCAGAGGGCTCCTACATCTACGTATTTACGTTTGAACTTTATTTGATATTCCCTCGAATATGTCGTTTATCATAATGTTGAAAAGTGTTTGGCTTAGAATGCTGCCTTGGGGTGTGCCATTTTCTAGGGGACACTGGTCCGATAGTGTTTGGTTTATTCCCACGGTTACCTTGCGATTTGTTAGGAAGTCTTGAATATAGTTTATTATTTGGCCTTTGAGTCCTGCTTTTTGGAGTTTTTGTAATAGTCCATTATGCCATAACATATTGAGAAATCTAGGAATATGCCTACTGTATATTGTTTGTTCAATTGGCCAATTTGTTCCTGGTTTATTATATTGTTTTGGTCCAGGTAGTGTTGGAGCCTATTTTTGACCATTGCGTCCATGAATTTACACAAATTTGAGGTTGGGGAGATTGGTCAGTAAGAATTTGCCTCGTCCGCCGGTTTGTTCGGCTTTGGTATTGGGATGACCAATGCCTCTTTCCATGAAGTATGAACCAGACCGTTTTGGTAGATGAGATTGTATAGTTTAAGAAGTGATTCAAGGATATTTGTGGGTAGTTGTTTAACTATTTTCGATTGTTTAATACATGGAGTATTCCTCTATTGTGTTAGGTTGATTTATTTCTAGGTTTCTATATTTCTATGGAGTATTTTTGGTTCGTTTAATGCCTCAGATTGTGTGTATTTTGCGTCATACTGTTCTTGCGTCTGTGTGATGGTTTTGTTCTTCGCAGAATCTTTTCCAGGTTTTGTTTTTTGCTGTTTTGACAAGGTTTTGTAAGTGGCAATTTAGTTGATGTGCTATCTTTAGATGTGCGTGGTCTCATTTAGCTTTGTTAAATGCGTTTTTGCCAGCAAGGTACTGTGGTTTTGCGTATTATTGGTGCTGTGAGGGGGATTGTTTTTTTAGCTTTGTTGTAATGGAATTTTGGTTCTTGGGGTTCATTGTGGTTTGGATGTTTATGTTTCCTATGTTTATGTATTGGAAAGTGGTCGCTGCCAAGTGGCTCCTTATTCACTGCCCACAAAGTGCTTTGGGCGTGATCAGGGGTACAGACTGTTAAGTCAATAGCTGACATACATGTATTTTGATTATTTTTATCATATCTAGTTGGTTGGTTGTTATTTAGTAGTATTAGGTGTTCTTGTTCGATCCAATCGGCGATGAGTTTGCCGTGTTAGTCTGTTTTATCTTTAACACCCCAGGAGGGGTGGTGGGCGTTGAAGTCCCCAAGAAGATGGTGGATTTTTTACCTATTTGATTCAAGGTTTCTATGTCTTCAGGTTTAATTTATTTCAGTGCCCAGTGGTATATGATTACATTTCTATTTTGATGAGTTAATTGTATACCATTAGCTTCTATAGCTTTGTTTTTTTTATTGGTATTTCCATTTGTTGTGATGCTTAACATTTTGATTCTGTATGTATTCAACAAAAAGTAAAAGGAATAGGATTGGTTGATACATGATGGGGTGTGCCCTACGTTTAATAAATGGCTAGACAGAGGGGAATACATAATCCTGTTGAACTAGCACTAATCTTGTTGACATATTTGCTTGGTGCTTGGAAAGAGATTATGGTATCACAATAGACGAGCTTGTGTGGGGCTGATCCTAAATGAGTCTGAATTGAAGTATTTGCTGAATGCTATTCTAATATAGGTGATGACAGATTTACTTTAGTAAAGTAGTTCAAGACAATCTATAAAGTACGAGACATAACTTTTGTCTTATTGAATAGTATGTCTGGGAGCTATAAGCTATAACTGAAACTACTAATATTTTGTATCTGCATTTTTCCTGGATCCCAATATGTATTACCTGCTGTTCTAAAAATATATGAAATTTTGTATAAATGTTACACCATGATAACTTATAAAAGCACTTGCTGTGGAATACAAATGTTACCCAATGATAACTTATAAAAGCACTTGCTGTGGATCTAATTATTACATGAAAATTTAGTATAAAGGTTATATCATGATAGAAGCAAGAAGGAATATTGCATACTGTTGTGGAGGGATAAGTTAAAAAATAAAATAAAAAGTTTAAATATGCAACTTATAAGCTAAACCCACCAGGTTTATGCAAGTAAAGCTGACCCATTGCTATATTGAGTGTGTTTTTTTCACTATTATGCTGTGCCTTTGACCTTTCATTACAGCTTCATAAACTAGTTATACCATATTATTGGCTGTTGAGCTGTGCATGCAATCTGACCAAGTGAGTTTGTGTCTTGCACATTTCAACCTTTTCCCTTCTAAAACCATAGACTAACGAAGCTAGTGCAAACACCTAGTTTTGACCCTTGAGCCTTGGTACAAATTGGTACAAATATCTGTAGTGAGTTAAAGACAAATTGATGCAAAATATTCTAGGGGAAAAAGAAAGGATTTTTGCAACATTGTTTAGGCTAACTATGATGAGTGCAAAATTTGATGCCTGGAGCAAACTTTGATCTTGTTTAACTTTTTGAACACATTAAAAACAGCTTTTACAGTAAAATCAAATTGATTTCATCAAGGTAAAATGCCTTGGTAAGAAGGAACCTGCAGGCAAAATTTCAGCTTTATTAGTCAGTTTCAGAGGAGTAAATAGTTAAGACCATTCTAAAAGTGCAATGTTCTTTCAACTCCAAACGTCAGTGTTGGGGTTACTAGGAGTCACAAGGTCATGTACCTTTTAAATAGTCTGTCACAAGAAACAAGTGCTGTAGGTCACTAGCCCTTGCCCCCTCACTAAAGCAATAACATAGAGTAGTCCAATTGGCTGGCCTGCCGTCTAGACAGTTTGTTCCTGCCTTCTTCCTATATCAAAAGACCATCCTAACGACAATCTCTCAATGTTTCTTGAACCATTTTCTTTAGTTTCCATGGCAACCATACTTTTTTTCCATTGCTCCCAAATGTATGCAGACATTTAATGACACATGGTGAAAGGCTTGTGTGGGGTCTAGAATATGGTTTTCCTGTCTGGCAGATACTTTGATGTATACTGTACATGACAGGAGTTTCACTTGGTGACACCAACTTTTATATTGCAAAGGTTGAATCAAGGATATAATACCTATTACAGCAAAAAATTAAACTTGCGTGTAACGCCACGCTACTTTCCTTCCACAGAAGGCTTGCAGTCCTTGGAGCAGCTACAGTCTCTTAACTTATCAGGAAATCTCATAGGCAGGTGAGTTGCAGCCTTTTTCAATAGTCACATCAAGTCTGAAGAATGTTCTTGAAGCCATGGTGATTGGTGTATTCATGCACATATCAGCAGAGACCCCAAAGAGTTCACTGCATGATTAGCACCTGCTTGAGATTTGTCTGCATTCATTTTCAGTTTTAGCACATACTATATGCAGGATTCTGTGTAAAGTGTTAAGGAGGGTACTTTGTTATTGAGTTTTGTTATTGTACTTTGATGATATAGCGTTTTATGTTGTTTGCTATGTTCATTTTTCGCACTGCTCTGACCTTACCCATCATGTATGCCTTGGATGTTCAGGTATACCTTGGTTCCTTATGTATGCCTTGGAACTTTATTATGCATGTATGCACTGGACCTTTATGTATGCCATGGACCTGTATGTTTGCCATAGACCTGTATATGCCTTGCACCTTTATGTATGCTATGGACCTTTATAGTTTATGTATGCGATGGATCTTTATGCATGCCTTGGACCTTTATGTATGTCTTGGTTGTCTATGTATGCCTTGAACCTTTATGTATGCCTTGCACCTGTATGTATGCCTTGGACCTTTATGTATGCCTTGCACCTGTATGTATGCCTTGCACCTGTATGTATGCCTTGGACCTTTATGTATGCCTTGGACCTTTATGTATGCTATGGACCTTTATGATTGCTATGGACCTTTATGATTGCTATGGATCGTTTGGTATGCTATGGACCTTTAGGTATGCCTTGCATCTGTATGTATGCCTTGGACCTTTATGTATGCCTTGGATCTTTATGTATGCCTTTCACCTGTATGTATGCCTTGCACCTGTATGTATGCCTTGGACCTTTATGTATGCCTTGGACCTAAGGTGTATGCTATGGACCCTTATATATGCCCTGCACCTGTATGTGTGCCTTGCACCTGTATGTATGCCTTGGACCTGTATGTATGCCTTGGACTTTTATGTATGCTATGGACCTTTATGTATGCCTTGCACCTTTATGTATGCTATGGACCTTTTTTACTCCCATCACACCAAACTAGTTCTCAATACGTTTGTGAAAATGTTGTCGAACGGGCTCCAAATGTGTATGAACGTAGTGGATGTAGTAGCAACTATTGACAGTCTTTTTACGAACTTCATGGATGGGGAGGGTGCTCCAGAACTTTTAGTCTGCGCAAAATTTTATCCCGTCCATCCCTTTCTGCAATTAGGCGGATTGACAACGTATTTAAAACGAGAAAGACATATTACGAACGGAATTGCTGTACTTCGAACGGAATTGCCATACTTCGAACCTACTAGGGACGTGTTACGACGTGGTGCAGTCCGACATAAATTTCAGTACGTGTGCACAGACCGGGTCGACTTCTTTTTGGAGGCATGATGTGTACAGCTCGGAGCCCTGAACTTGAATGAAGACTGGCTACAACGCACTTGGTATCCATAGGATTCGGGCCAGGAAGGTCAAGGACGCAAATACACACGTACTTGGGACGAGATGAGGACGTACTGCGAACGAGTTGGTCGGGTTAAGAATTAGTAAGAACTGGCTTGGACGTATTGTGAACGAGGTACAACAAGGTTGAACTAGTTAAGTTCGAGTTGAGAACGGCTAAGGACGTGCTCGAACTGCTTCGAAACGTTGTCGGGTTGAGGTGAACGGGCAATTTTACACGATCTGAACTGGATACAAATGGACTGCAGACTGGCTAAGAACAAGATAGACGTATTGAGGACTGCATATGAACGAACTAGCATCGTATTTTACACCAAACTATGCGTTCTACCGTGATCACAGCCCGTTCTAGTATGTTGCTTAGAACTGGGTAGAACGGGATAGAACTACTTTGGTGTGATGGTAGCATAATATATGCCTTGCACCAGTATGTATGCCTTGGACCTTTATGTATGCCTTGGACCTTATGAATGCCTTGGACCTTTATGTATGCTATGGACCTTTATGTATGCCTTGGACCTTTATGTATGCCTTGCACCTGTATGTATGCCTTGCACTTGTATGTATGCCTTGGACCTTTATGTATGCCTTGGACCTTTATGTATGCCTAGGACCTGTATGTATGCCTTGCACCTGTATGTTTGCCTTGGACGTTTATGTATGCCTTGGACCTTTATGTATGCTATGGATCTTTATGTATGCCTTGCACCTGTATATAGGCCTTGGACCTTTATGTATACAATGGGCCTTTATGTATGCCTTGCACCTGTATGTATGCCTTGCACCGGTATGTATGCCTTGGACCTTTATGTATGCCTAGGACCATTTATGTATGCCTTGGACCTTTATGTATGCCTTGCACCTGTATGTATGCCTTGCACCTGTATGTATGCCTTGGACCTTTATGTATGCCTAGGACCTTTATGTATGCTTTGGACCTTTATGTATGCCTTGCACTTGTATGTATGCCATGCACTTGTATGTATGCCTTGCACTTGTATGTATGCCTTGGACCTTTATGTATGCCCAGGACCTTTATGTATGCTTTGGACCTTTACGTATGCCTCGGACCTTTATGTATGCCTTGGACCTTTATGTATGCCTTGTACCTTTATGTATGCCTTGGACCTTATGTATGCCTTGAACCTTCATGTATGCCTTGTACCTTTATGTATTCCTTGAACCTTCATGTATGCCTTGGACCTCTATGTATGCCTCGGACCTTTATGTATGCCTTGGAATTTATGTATGCTATGGGCCTTTATGTATGCCTTGCACCTGTATGTATGCCTTGGACCTTTATGTATGCCTTGGACCTTATGAATACCTTGGACCTTTGTGTATGCTATGGACCTTTGTGTATGCTTTGGACCTTTATGTATGCCTTGCACTTTTATGTATGCCTTGGACCTTTATGTATGCCTAGGACCTTTATGTATGCCTTGGACCTTTATGTATGCCTTGCACCTGTATGTATGCCTTGCACCGGTATGTATGCCTTGGACCTTTATGTATGCCTAGGACCATTTATGTATGCCTAGGACCTTTATGTATGCCTTGCACCTGTATGTATGCCTTGCACCTGTATGTATGCCTTGGACCTTTATGTATGCCTAGGACCTTTATGTATGCTTTGGACCTTTATGTATGCCTTGCACTTGTATGTATGCCTTGCACTTGTATGTATGCCTTGCACTTGTATGTATGCCTTGGACCTTTATGTATGCCCAGGACCTTTATGTATGCTTTGGACCTTTACGTATGCCTCGGACCTTTATGTATGCCTTGGACCTTTATGTATGCCTTGTACCTTTATGTATGCCTTGAACCTTCATGTATGCCTTGGACCTCTATGTATGCCTCGGACCTTTATGTATGCCTTGGAATTTATGTATGCTATGGGCCTTTATGTATGCCTTGCACCTGTATGTATGCCTTGGACCTTTATGTATGCCTTGGACCTTATGAATACCTTGGACCTTTGTGTATGCTATGGACCTTTATGCATGCTTTGGACCTTTATGTATGCCTTGCACTTTTATGTATGCCTTGGACCTTTATGTATGCCTAGGACCTTTATGTATGCCTTGGACCTTTATGTATGCCTTGCACCTGTATGTATGCCTTGCACCTGTATGTATGCCTTGGACCTTTATGTATGCCTAGGACCTTTATGTATGCTTTGGACCTTTATGTATGCCTTGCACCTGTATGTATGCCTTGCACTTGTATGTATGCCGTGCACTTGTATGTATGCCTTGCACTTGTATGTATGCCTTGGACCTTTATGTATGCCCAGGACCTTTATGTATGCTTTGGACTTTTACGTATGCCTCGGACCTTTATGTATGCCTTGGACCTTTATGTATGCCTTGTACCTTTATGTATGCCTTGGACCTTATGTATGCCTCAGAGTGTTTAGTTTACCTTTGGCATTCATGTATGCCATGGACCTGTATGCCTGCCTTAGATCTTTATTGTATATCTTCATCAACTTAAAGTTTTTGAAATTAGTGACACCATGTTTTTAACACCTGCAAAACTACAGTTTTGATTAAAATTGAATGGTTTGTGGCCACAGCATAAAGTTGTATTTGACTTCCATCTGTGTCCTTCATGTACATATGTGACTGACAGTAGCGCAATGACAATCATACTCTTATATTATGGTGTATTTATCGAATATGTTGAGACTTATTTGTTATTTATTTTGCCTCTTCTTCTTTACTCTTGTATAATCTTTGTGATCTGATATGATTTTTGAGAAAATTCAGGTTAGCTGTGGTGCCTTGTGGTTTTATTGGTATTGTGTTTCCAGAAGAATACCCTCACATTGCTGTTTTAATCAATGTTGAGCAATACTTATACTGTAGTTCTTTTCATTTTTCTTATTTGAAAGGTTTGAGTCGTTGCTGTGTCTAACTGGGCTCGAGAATCTGCAAGATTTATGTCTACAAGACAGAACCAATAAGCTTACAAACCCAGTGTGTCAACATGTAAACTACTTGAAGGAGGTGCAAAGGATGTTCCCTAGACTCACGACCCTAGATGGTACGAGTACACATTGACAGTTTATACTGGACGCTTTGAAGCTGCCACTTCCAACCAGCTAGTTGGGTCACTTGGGCTATCAAGTGTGTAGAGATGAATTGACTTGCCACCTTTAAGAAGTGTGGGCTGCATAGACATGGTGTATTATATGGTGTATTTATTCAGTCAAAGCTTTCTCCTTCTAGACTACGAAGAACTTGTGTATGAAATGTAAACTGACATGGTTTTGTCAGTAGCAAACTACAGGTGTATAACAACCATTTTCAGCAGCCCCAGGAATAGGTCATGAACATATGTAAGTGTCTCCAGGAGTAAAGGTTTCTGCCCAAATTTTGAATATGTATATAAAAGTGACAAAACTCTTTTCATATCCATAAGAAATATCTACCGAAAGCAGAGTTAATTGTACAATTGTACACTTCTATATTTTGAGCATGTGTTTATGAATCACTATCAAATAGTGATGATACCAGGTGTTCGTGAAAAGGTGAGTATATGCTGCCCCACCAGTGACACCCATCACAAGCACATGCAAAGACAAGTCAATTCTTCACCTGAAAAAAACCCACCTATGGTACAAGTCGAATTAGGGAATTTTCTTTGGAATTCATTCTTGTCACTGATGCCTCAAATTTGGAAATGTCCTCCACATGTCTACCATAAAACATTTTGAAAGCTTCACTGAGGCCTGAATGTTGTGACCTTGATCAAACAACTTCTGAGCGAGAGTTGTATGACGCTCTTTGAAATCTTAGTAGAAAGAGCTTACTCAATTGTACCTCAATAGTTGCGAAATGTACATACCAAGGCTGGAGCTGCAGGAATATAGCTTGACATAAAGGGAAAGTTGATTATTGGAAAGGTAAGGTCATTCCTCTTGTCATACAGTCTTGTGGAGACTGTTTGGTCACTCAGAATCTTTATGCATACCGTATTCGACGTAATAAGCGCCCCGCTCTAATAAGCGCCCACGTCGATATTTACTAATGTACTGGCTAGTGAACAATATCCGTTAGCACCCCTTCCGATTGATCAATGTACACAACACCTATTTATTCGCGTATAATACGTACTCGTGTGTTATATGCACCCTTAATTATGGGCAATTAAATTCTGGAAAAATCTATCTCTCGTATATAAACATTTCAGGCACGAAATGTATCTTTCAACTCTGTTTTTTTTCTCACCAAAATAATATTCTAATAAGAGCCCCCTATTTCTAATTTTGAGAGCGCCCTGGGCGCTTATTACGTCGAATACGGTAGATCTAAATGTGAAAGATCTAAAGATGGGGCGATCTCACTGGTCTCCTTTATATCTAGTTCTGGTGGGTAAATCAGTAGAAGGGAATTGGCTATTTGATGGTTATTGAACGATATCAGATCATCGATATACCTGAAGATAAACTTAAATTTCTTGGCCAAATTACCCTGTTTAGATGTGGCCTCACTGCACACTTTGGATAGCGGAAATACCTACTTGAATACAAACACAAACACGGTTTATTGAGCAGCAGTTGTAACAAATACATACCAATGTCATTCAAAGAGTAGGATTTACACAAAAGGCATCTGTTCAGTTATCACTTCAGTTCTACGCACTCATGTCAAACAAGGCATCATTGACCACTCCAATCAGTGAACTGTTGTTGGTTCAATTACTTTATTGCCTTTTAATTTCCTTTATTGCAGTCAACAGAGTGAACAAATCAACTGTGTGTTGTTTTTGTGAAAACACTGTTTATTGTTTTTACGGAAGTGCTTTACCCACCGTTAATGAGTGGTGCTATTTGCTGTTTGAATGGATTTAGGTAAGGATATGTATCATTCCACTGGGGATGGGGTGATGTTGCATTGATTTTGAGTCACATTTTTGGCTAGGGGTCAGCAGTCGTATTAATTTGGAGACACCTTAATATCAAGATTTACAGTATTCAGGGATGTGAGCAGGTTGTCCCCCCAAAAAGAGGAAAACTCTAGGGGGGTCTGGGTGCATGCCATATCACAGAACTACTTTAACACATTTCAATTGTCTAATCAAATTAGTTTAGTAAGTGGTATATTTCAATATTCATTGACCAATGAAATTTGTTTAGCAAATATTGAAATATGTGATGAACTTCATCATGTCATACATCACTAAATATTAATACTGTTATTCACTGTCTATTCATATCTGTGAGGCACAACTACAACTTTGTTTTTTTCTTGAGGCAACTGTCATGGAACAACATATCTGACTCTGCTTCATAGGAGAGTTTTTCTCTGTGTTTCCTCTTGGAAATAGGATCGACTTCTGATGGAACCACTCCATAGGACTTCTGTCGTTCCTTTCTTTCCTGCTGTCTGGCCTCCTTTGAGTCTTGATAATGTCTATAAGACATTGCTAAGTTCTGGCATAAATGTGGGTCGACTTTTGCGTGTTTTGGTTCCTTGTGAAAATACACTTCCACTGATGATTGACCTCTAGCCATGAGCTCATGTTTCACTGTCTGTATGGCACTGTACGTTTCAATCTTCATGTTGGCTGAACTGTCATCAAGTATGTCCCCCATGATACTAAAACTGCTTTCAACAATGGGACCATGAAAGCATGTGATGACACTTTTAACTAAAGTTGACAGAAGAGGGTACCTTCCTGACTTGCCAACAGTTGCCCACCACAGATCCAGTTTCTGATCATGACATGCCAGAGGACCAGGCAAGTGGTCATCAACTGTGTAAGCTCTCATCTCCAGGTCAAAGTCATCTTTGTCGTCTTCCTTGAGAACATTTGTAGCTAGAGATGGGAGTTGATTGAGGTAGCGCTGGGTTGTAGCATTTGGCCTCACAATTGGATCCAGGGCTGACATGGCCTTCAAAAGGGGATTATTGATAGGCATCTTAGACAGGAGAGAGATGCTTCAATTCACATATGCTTCTTTGACATTCTCCATGAATTGGGATGCAAACTTATGATGCCCATACCTTGACAAAACTCTTTTTGTCTGACTTCCAATGAATATATCCTTCATTGGCAAGTGATTGGCTGGGTCTGACACTACAACATTCACAAGTTTTTTGGTGTGAGTTCTTTCAGTGATTGTGGCTAGATGAAGTTGGACAGGATTCTGATGGCAAGTTGCTTTTGTTGATCATGAAGCTTGTCCACTTGAGTCTCTCTTGACTGGAACATCACGACATACTTCTTAATTTGACCAAGTACAGCTGAATAGAACTGAAAAGTAAAAATATACACCAAAATTAAAGTTCATTATTCAGAAATAAATTACAGAATAAGTCATGTTCAAGACAATTGTAAATTAAGCATTGTCCATCTTCAGACAATGTATGTTGACATGTATCAATTGTGTTACCATTTCCATTATTGTATAATCCAAAGTAACCAGAGACCTGATAAATATATTTGAACAATATTTGCAATTATTTGGTGAATTATTAAATTAAGATTCAAGGTTAAATATAATACACACAAAAATACACCCATACCTGCATTATCAGGCAAGTCTTGGTTCTCAGAAGAACAGCTTCTCTACTATTCTCTGCTTCCTTGCTTTTCCCTCGGTAGTCATAGTTTTCTTCAGGATGGACCGCAACAGGTTCAATACGGCTTTCTGGTTTTTCTCTGTGACATCATACTTGGCATTTAGATATTCCAGTACTTCTTTGTAAATTGCACCATCACTTTTAGACAGAAATGGATGAAAGAAGATAGTATAGGCATCAAACAATCTAATTGTGTCCACACATACATCATAGACAGACAGCCATCTATGTGAAATGTATCTCTGTGGTACTGTGTATTTCACACCAAGAAGGGCACATATCATCTGGAGAGCTTCCCTATGATCAGCCGATCACTTGAAGTCAGAGTAGATATCCGGCATTAGGCCTTCCAGATGGTAGTCAAATGGTTGGCAGAACCTTTTTGCAGCATTTTGAGCGTGGTGGCAGGTATCGCCATCAATATCAAGCAAGTGGGGTGCCCTCTTCGTCCTTATCATTTGCTCCAAGCCTTTCTTTGAACCCCGCATGACTGCACAAGAGTCCATCAATACTGACATAAGGTTTGTCCATGGAATTTTATGCATTACGAACAAATTGTCCAAGGCTTCAAAAAGTGTGTGTGTGTCCACCTTTATCACAGATACATTATCCAAGTGATGGATGACAACTTTTTGTTGTGATGGGCAAAAGTAACTAACCATCACAGACAAAACTTGATAATTGTTTGAGCTTGTAGCCTCATCAATGTTTAACGAGAACTTGTTTTCCCTAAGAGTAATCAAAGGGTCATCCTTGTAAGTTCTGGCCAGGCCATGGGTCATTTTATGAGAGGCTGAAGTTCTGTCCATTGAAAGTTGGTCAAGCGTACACTTGTCGGAAGATAAAGCCTTTGCCAGTGATATCAACTTGGGCACTTGTGAAAAAGAAAGCGAATTTTCAGCCGCAAATGACAATACCATTGCTTCAGCATTATGGATACGATCTCTTAAGGGTGTCAATGGTACAACTGGAGGTGTGGCATCACTGACTGTACTATTGCTTGCAGGCACTTTGTCCACTTGTTTAGAGAGGCTGAACAGTTTCTGTTGACCTGTAATTTTGAAAGATTGGACAATATATATTATACATTATAATATTTCCTATATCATATTTTTATGAACAATTCCTATATCATCTAATGTAATGTATATCATCTATTCATGAAATATTATTTAACAAGTTTCTATAGGAATATAATTTCTTATTATTATCTTGGGTTATTTGTTTACACAGCCGAATAAGGAACACTCTAAGTCTCTTAGATTGTGGTGAAATAATATTTAATTGACACAGTTTTGTGATCTTTAGGGAAATACTTCATGTAATAATATGAATTTTTTTTATTTACTTAAATAAATTGTATAACTTTCTAAGGCAAGAAATATACAGAGAAAAGCATCTAAAAAGCCTAGGAAAAAGTAGCAAAAAGCAGATGAGGCGTATGATATTAAAGCT